ATTTGAACAAATTTAATTCTACACTACCCGAAAATGTTTCCATATAAATACTAGTATTACTAATCATGGCTTTGCTATTCTTGGGAAGATTTTTTTTTATATATTTTAATGTAAAACTTGGATCCCCCATTGTGGCCCTCCCTATCCCTGGGGGTTATGATTTGAACAAAGTAGAATTTACACTACCTGAGGATGATTCCACATAAATATCACTAATCATGGCTTTGAAGTACTTGAGAAGTCGATTTGAAAAGATTTCCCTACCTAGTCCTATGTAGAACTTTGATCAGTCATTTTGCCCCCAACCCCAACCCCCCAGGGGTCATGATTTGAACAAACTTGAATTTACACTACCTGAGGATGATTTCACTTAAGTTTCATCTTTCCTGGCCCAGTGGTTCTTGAGAAGAAGATTTTTAAAGATTTTCCCTGTATACTTCTATATAAAAATTTGATCGGCCATTGTAGCCCCACCCTACCCCCGGGGGTCATGATTTGAACAAAATGGAATCTACACTACATGAGGATGCTTCCACATGAGTTTAATCTTTCCTGGCCCAGTGGTTCTTGAGAAGAAAATTTTTAAAGATTTTCCCTGTATACTCCTATGTAAAATTTTGATCGGCCATTGTGGCCCCACCCTACCTCCGGGGGTCATGAATTGAACAAATTTGAATCTACACTACCTGAGGATGCGTCCACATGAGCTTCATCTTTCCTGGCCCAGTGGTTCTTGAGAAGAAGATTTTTAAAGATTTTCCCTGTATACTCCTATATAAAAATTTGATCGGCCATTGTAGCCCCACCCTATCCCCGGGGGTCATGATTTGAACAAACTTGAATCTACACTACATGAGGATGCTTCCACATGAGTTTCATCTTTCCTGGTCAAGTGGTTCTTGTGAAGAAGATTTTTAAAGATTTTCCCTATATACTCCTATATAAAATTTTGATCGGCCATTGTGGCCCCACCCTACCCCCGGGGGTCATGAATTGAACAAATTTGAATCTACACTACCTGAGGATGCTTCCACATGAGTTTCATCTTTCCTGGCCCAGCGGTTCTTGAGAGGAAGATTTTTAAAAAATGCCAATAAATTTTCACTAATTCATAATTATCTCCCCCTGGAGAAGGGCTTGGCCCTTCATTTGAAGAAATTTGAATCCCCTTTACCTAAGGATACTTTGTGGCAAGTTTGGTTGAAATTGGCCCAGTGGTTCTTGAGAAGAAGATGAAAATGTGAAAAGTTTACGACGCCGACGACGACAGACGACGGACAAATTTTGATCAGAAAAACTCACTTGAGCTTTCGGCTCAGGTGAGCTAAAAATGAAGAACTAATGTGGAAAACGAGATAAAATTACTAAAAATGTTAAGAATTCAAAGTCGTGTATGAAGTTTAATTGTTTTATTTGATGTGTTTCTTCGAACTTACTTTGAATTCTTAACTCAGTCCTGCTCTCGTATAAATATGCAAAGCATAATAAGACCATGTTAATTTTGATATGGATAGATTTCAAATTATTTATGTTATGTGTCATAGCTGGAATAGCATAAAAGTGTCTCAAAAACTCGCAAAACTTCACCCCCTGGGCCCCCATCAGGGCTTTGCCCTGAACCCATTGGGGGTCTTAAGACCCCCGACCTTTAGTCCCCTCTCCCTTTCAACAAATACTGAATCTGCAACGATTATCTCATAAGTATCTGTTAATAAATGGGGCAGGGAAACGTTAAGTTACAAAAAATCTTAACAAGCACGTGCACGTTTGTGGACCCCCCAAGCACCTGCGTTTCATGCTATTAACATATCATAACTGTTGACATCTGCTTCGCACCACACTCGAAGAAATGCGCGTTCGTTTAGATATCTCCCCCAAGGTTTCACAGGGTCGACGCAGATCTCTATGTACCCTGTTTCAACAGGCTTGATTTGCATTCAAGGTCACTATACCAAATTTAACTTTGAAAGGCTAGAAAAATGTTACATATTTAAAAATTAAAATCATTTAGAAGGGTTTTTCTTCAGAGATAGAATGATAAGAGGTCATGTTTTTGGGGGGTGGTGCGGTGGGGTGGGGGTAAGCCTTTCTTGAGCAGTAATAATAATCAAAGTAAGATAATGTATACATTATTTATTACGTGTAAGCAATTAAAATCTGGTTTCTATAAAACTGTAGCTAACACTATTAATGAACTGAACCCAAAATGTACTAAAAAAATTTGGAATTCTTTAAAGTCAAACATGCAAAATCTGGTTGAGGCAGAGTCACCCATTAAAATATCTCAAAGGGTTGACCATTTTCATACTCTATTAAATTCTAACGAACATGACATAGGTATGGATATTAATTGTGAAGTTGACAAAAACAAACCCCTAGATTTTCTATTTACACCTAAAGAAGTGCATATAGGAATATCGAGCTTGAAATCTGGAAAAAGCTCTGGTTTAGATCTTATTCCAAATGAATTTATTAAAATAAGTTCTGATATTTTCCTGCCTGTACTGGTTAAACTTTTTAATAAAATTCTTCAGAATGGCAGAATGCCAGAATTATGGAACCTATCATTAATCACAACTTTGTATAAATCTGGAGATCCCGGAAATTGCAATAATTATAGAGGATTAAGTGTAACAAGTTGTCTCCGTAAACTTTTTGATAGACTCCTTCAAACCCGACTGTATAATTATTTAGAATCAGAAGGGTTGTTAAGTTAAGTCATTTTCGGGCAGGATTTAGGAAAGGATATCGTACAACAGATAATGTTTTCATCCTCAAAACTTTAATGAACAAGTACCTGTTTAATAAAAAGAATGAATTATTTTTGTGCTTTGTTGATTTTTCCAAAGCTTTTGATACTGTATATAGACCAGCTCTTATGTATAAGATTTTAAAAAAAGGTATTGGTGGAAATTTTTTCAGTATTATAAAACATATGTACTCTTCTACAAAATGTGCTGTAAGACAGGGAAATTATTATAGTGAGTTTTTTGATACTACATTAGGAGTTAAACAAGGGGACAATTTAAGTCCTACTTTATTTAATATTTTTGTTGACGACTTTGAAAATTATTTTGATAAAGTTATGACCTACCCTGTATGTTTAAGTGATTTAACTTTTAATCACTTATTTTTTGCTGATGATCTTGTTTTATTATCAGAGTCAGCTGAAGGCCTCCAAAATTGTGTAGACAGTCTTTCAAGATATTGTATAGAATGGAAGTTGCATGTAAACTTAGAAAAAACAAAGGTTATGATTTGTTCTACCAGAAAACTAAAGAAATATTATGCATTTTATTATAACAATAATAATATAAATATTACTGATAAGTACAAATATCTTGGTATATTTTTACAATCAAATGGCAATTTAAAACATGCTTGTGATGATCTTGCTGCCAGAGCCCGAAAAGGTTATTTTGCCTTAAAGCATAAACTACTCTTTGGCTCAAATCTCTCTCCCAGCTTGTGGTTAAAGCTATATGAATCAATTATTGTTCCAATTTTAACATACTCCTCAGAAATTTGGATCTCTGATTTTAATACAAATCCCAATAATTTTGATAAAACTCCTTTTGAAAGAATCCAAAATTTTATCTTAAAAAACATCTTAGGTGTCCATAATAAAGCATCAAACTTAGCAACAAAAATTGAATTAGTTGTTTTCCCTGTACATGCCAAAATTTACCATCTTGTTTTTAAATATTATTCCAGATTGGAAAAATTAACAAAAACAAATAATAATTGCAATGTCTTACTCAATAATGCTTACTTGGAAGATACGCGATTGGCCAGTGAAAATAAAAAAATGTTGGCAAAGTTGTGTAAAATCAATGCAGAAGATGTTAGATTTTAACTTTGACACAGATTTTAAAACTTTTAGTCCTAAGCTTAAAAATTTCTTTGAAAATGAATTTGTTTCTGAACTCCAACACATTAACAATACTCAGTGCGGTAAGCTGTCATTTTACAGTACATTATTCAACTATGATGCTAAGAAACTGGAAATCCAACCATACTTGTGTTTTCCACTTCATAAAAATTTATTTTCTTATCTTTCCAAGTTTAGAATAAGTGCACATAACTTGTACTTAGAAACAGGTAAATATTGTAATCCTGTCATTCCTAGAGAAAGTAGATTTTGTTTCCATTGTAAAACTCTTGTTGAAGATGAAAAACACTTTTTACTTGATTGTCCTGTGTATAAAAATGTCCGGAAAAAGTATATATTCAAGGTTACTAGATGTTAATAACTTAATTTTGTATCTATATATCAGAGACTGTTTTGAAATTAGAAACAAGCTTACAATACTAGTAGTATAATAATTTGCAATACATGTATATGGCTAACAACACATTCCTGTATATAAATATGTGCTTTAGTGCCAATAAAGAATTGAATTGAATTGAATTATTTATTTAATTATTTTTACATAGAATATAAAATAATTAAATAAAGAATTTGACCAAGGCAATATTAAAAATGAAAACAAAATATTCAAAACTGTAACCCTTTTTTAGTGTTAAAAAGTAAAAGTGTGTGAAAGGCTACAAATACTTTTTTAAATCTTGAAATAACGACTTTTTAAAGTCGTCACAACGACTTTATATACCGTCCCGGGGGGGGGGGGGGGGGGGCGCCGCCCTTCCCCTCCCCCCCCCCACTTTTTTTGCAAAGATAGACATAATATAAGCATTGAAAATTGGGGTTTACCTTTTTTGTTGGTTTAGCCCCCCTTTCAATATTACCCCCTTTCAATTTGCTTCCGACGCCTATGCGTCATTACCTTTATCTGAATTTTTATTTGCTATGTGTGGTTTTTTTTTCAGATAAAAAAAAAATAAAAAAAATAAAATATATAAATAAGTTTAATTGATTTTTTAATTCATATACACATAAAAGAGCTTTTGTGTAATATCGTTAGCGTTGTGACAATATGTAAGGCGATGGTTTACCTTACGTTGCATTATGTTTCTTTATTTTGTGAGCACTTTACGGTGTTTAGTTCCCCCTCATCCGGGTGTTTCAAACTTGAAAGCGAGACTTAGCGCGAGGATGCGTGACAGTTTTTTTGTAGTTTGAAATTTTAACAAATTGCAGGGAAAATATTGGTAAGACACGATAATAATTAATACCTTTGTTTGAATAGAATTGAGATTACTGATTTTGAACTACGAGAAACTACTGCATTATGTAAGTGTATGTGAAAATACTCATGCTTGCAGACGACAAAGTTGTGGACAGGTTGGGCACAACCTACCAAATGGTCCTTTATCCCCCGTTTGGTAGACAATCTACCATATCGGTATCGAATTTTACTGACCATTTGGGGGACAAAATTGGTTGTGTTTAATTTCATGTAGTGGCGTGAAATTGCGCATAATTTTAAACCATGTGGAATAAAATATAGATATTTATCGGTGTTCTGGATGAAAAAAATCAGAAATTCTATGTGCAATTTTTTGCGCATAGTCGTTCAAAAATTTGACAAAAACGTAGCTTATGTAAACGTGTGCAATGTTTCTCCGTATTTTACTTTCAAAGAAAATTCTCTCCTTCTCCAACGATGTTGCACCTGTCAATCATGTCCTTTACTTTCTATTTTGATTATCCGGGCAACCAATCAATTAGTGCAAACCAATCAAAGCGATGATCTATTTTAAACCTGACGAAAAGTCGAATTTAACTACGGCGACACATTTGTGTAAATTTTCAACTAGGAAATCAGAAGAAAAATAGGTTTTCGCCTTTATTTCGTTTTATTTTGTACACAATGGCTTTGTTCTTCATAAAAATAGTAAATGCAGTTGGAGTATGATACAACTATTGTTTGAAAACGATGTGAATGGGAAAAAAACAAGAATAATGGCAAAAGTCATTTTGTACATCTTTTATTGAATATTATTTTTCAAATTAATTAAATTCACCAGTTATATGCATATTAAACCCAAAAAGGTCGCAAGGAATCTGCGACTTCTTCCTAAAAGAAAAATGACAACAAACATTACGTTCAACTCTGGAAAAAATTATCTTTATAGCAGGAAGTGCGCACCATACCGGTAAGGCATGAGGAGATCGTGTTTAACATTGTTTAACGGGATTTTACGACGATAAACATTGACGAAGATCCAAATCGAGATTGAAAGTTAACTCATCAAGAATTAAATCACAAGATGAAATTGAATTTTTATCCAACAAAATACAACAAACATTATTTTTTGATCGATTGATCAAGAAGTTCGGCTGTTACAGACAACTATGGGCATTGTTTTTACAAAGTTACGAAGAAATTACACATAAAGATTCAACCAATTTATGATAACTGTGCGAGGAATATGTTCACTAAAATCCCCCAATGCCTAAATAAATGCGCTTTTGTTTTATTTTGATAAAGATTACAATAGAATAAAAAAGTCCCCCATTTGGTCAGTAAAATTCGATACCGATATGGTAGATTGTCTACCAAATGGGGGATAAAGGACCATTTGGTAGGTTGTGCCCAACCTGGTGGAAGGATTGCATGTCCATAATTCAGAAAGTAATTCTTTTCGTGACCATTGGTGTATGCATATGAGATAAATGGACACTTTCAATGTTTATGTTTCTGTATATATATCGAAATTATGATGTAGCTTTGTTAGGAAGCTTGAATTTGCCCCAAATTCTTATTCATTGTTTATAGTTATTTATAGATGTTGATTGTAAACACTGAGGCAAGCTTCCTTTTCCTTGTTTGGTTTTGGCCAAATAGATCTATGGTGTAAGATGAGAATTTTTGTAAAGAGCATGCTTAATGAAGTTAATGTAAAAATGTTGCAAGAACAAGGAAAAATAAAGTGGTAATCAATCTGGGAATAGGACTTGTCATAGCTGCAATAATGTATTGGGGGGGGGGGGGGGGGGCTACAACCCCATAGGAGTTAGGATCTTGGTAAGGGTGCAAGTGCAGGAGTAACAGGAGTTAATTACCCCTGTAACAGGAGTTAATTACTCCTGCACAGATTTCGGCTCAAATTGTCAGTAAATGCCTATTTTATTAACCATATATCGGTTATTTTTTGTGTATATCAACATCACAACTTGAATTTATCCGCCATATTTACTGACCTAGATAGATGTTTTTGTGATACCATTTAGCACAATCATATATAAACACCGATATTTGCTTTATGAAGTTGTTCCGATTTCTGATTTTCAAGTGAAAGTCTCAATGCATCACGCATGAACTGTCATGACTGTGTAGAGCGACTGGTAAACATGCAGATTTATATCACATGTTTTTCATGTTTAACAGGCTATGTTGTAGACAGTGAATAAAAAAAAATTGTCATGTTAGAAGTAAGTTGAATGTATAAACAATTTATTTGGCTGCAGTCGCCAGTATTAAAAAAATATATTTACACCATTACGGAGATGCTGTGGAATTGTAGCCCTCTCCAGAAAATATCAGATTAAAGAAATCGGAGAGGGCTACATTATTGCAGCTAAACTTGGCCAAGAAGGTATTTCACAAAAAATGTTAGCTTTTGTTCATCAATTTATTATAAAGATGAAAAGAATATTTTTGTCTTGGATTGTGCAGAACAATAAATATATACTTGCATTACACATGTATCTTGCATATAAAGTGTGTGGAAATCTATGACATTCAATACACCATAACATGTAAAGGGGGTCAAAATGTTCAAGAGTGCATTTTATTTTGATGTTGCAGGCATTGAAGCTAAGAAAAGGCAACTTGTGATCAAAAAATAAAAAATCACACTCACATTGTCTAGAAGCTGTCACATTGGCTCTTCCATTAATAGTAGCTTGCAAAAGGGGTTATACATGGATTTGAAATAAAAATCACATTTGCAGTCAAGGCAGAGAGTTCAAAAGATGTAAATATTTTCACAATATGCTAACGCTCATTAACTTGCAGCAATTCTACTCACTGGGAAACAGTTCGTTCAATTAGGAAAAATAGCATCAAAGTAATTTCTATCATTTAAACAAAAGAAACGTATTTTGTCTTTATTCCAACCTTATTGCCCATGCCTCCATGTTATCAATAATAAATAACAAGTATTTATTGTTTTGACATATCATTGTCATTTATTTTCACATTTTCATGCTTTCAATTTGTCAAAATGTATGACTATTCTGATTACACCACAGGTCCCACCAAATTACAACTAATCTCTACTTATGATTTAAGTTGAAGGGAAACAATTAGTCAACTTGTAATAAAATAAATACAACATCATTGTAGTCTGTTGTTTAGCAGTTGAATGGGGAATTTTCAGTCTCAAAATTGGGAAAAAATAAATGTTTTTTTTTTTGGCATTGGGTATGGTATCGTTTATCAGTCATATGAGAGAAAAAACGCTGATTTGTTTGCGTACACCGTTTTAGTTATGAGGTTATTTATTTTTTAAAAATAATGATTCAATGCATAAATATCACTGATCAAATTTCTGAAGTTTTAATTTGTTTTTTTGTTTAGTGAATGGCAACAGGATTTGGAAGAGGCGGGCGGGGTGCTGCTCTTTTGCAAGCACTGAATCAGCCCGTCAGGAAGCCAGGAGAACAAGATGAGGTAAGGGGCCCTGCTCAATCTGTTTGAGAAAATTTCCTATATAAAACCAAAAAAGTGAAGTGTTTAAGAATTGTTTATTGGTATATCAAGAGCCTGTCTTGAAGACTTTATTTATGGTTTTAGAAAAAGCCAGAATCCTCAGGGGATGCCCCTGCACCTCCTCCAGCAGTATCAACCACAGCAACTGGTCAGGGAAATATACCCATGGGGAGAGGATCAATGGGGCGTGGGGCTTTTTTACAGGGGCTTCTGCAAGGTGCTACAACTTCAGGATTGTCTAGAGGACAACCAACAGGTAATGCAAATTCTATTACAAAGAAAAATAGGTTATTTTAATTTGATGATTTTCACAAGTGTACATGTATATTTCCTTGGCATTAGTCTGCTTTATGACTTGACTTTTTTTTTTCTTTTTAGCACAACAACCTACACTTCCTGCTACTGGGGGAAGAGGTATTGCCAATCTTCAAGCTCTTTTAAAGTAAGTTGAAAAAGGTGTGTGCACAGGTGTGTGTATTTATAAATTACAGGTGCAACTTGTGTTGTAATAATCCAGAGGGAGTCTAGAATTACACTTTTCTTTTGCTCAAGGGAAGTGGAAAATAGTGTCAGAAAAATTATGGTATCAAACTTACCAGTCTGTGAGAGTTATAAAGACAGGCCTCTTGTTTTCCTCTTAGCTTTAAATTTGTTACGTGAACATCACATAATTTTTTTTTTATTTCCCAACAGGAGTGCTGGAAGAGGAGGAGGCATAACAGGACCTTCACCAGCACCACAGATGCCTCAGGTTACCCCACCCCCACAGGTTTCAGTCAGTACCCCCCAGCCTTCAGTCAGTACCTCCCAGGGGTCCACACCTGCTCCCTCAGTTACCTCTCAGTCAGGAGTGGCACCAAGCAAAATGTCTTCAGATCCGCCCAGTAGCCGACTCAGCAAGATGGCTCTGGATCGTCCACCCACTGTCAATAAATCGGGCACTGCAGGCAAACCGTAAGCTCATAGAAAAAAAAAATTTGTTATCTTAGTCTGAATTAATAAATGTTATTTATCATTGTTTGTAGAAGCTCTGCTGGTCCAAGACTGGAAGAGTTATCTGTTTAAACATTTTTCAGCACACATCCAATTCAATCAGACTTTATAAGCAAGTATACACTATACTAAGATACATAATTCTATTTATCAGATTTTGACATTGATAAAAATTGAAACTTCTTAAAAATTCTCTCAAAATGCTTATCAACGTGCAGAATTTAACCAATACTACTAGCAATGTACTAGTTTTAATAAAATGGTAAGTTACTAGTTGTACTAGTATTGTACTAGTAATAAAACATACCCTTTTTGCATGACAGTCGGAGCTTTTCAACTCAGGCATAAGGCCCTTTGTTGAGATTGGTCTCCCAGCTGACATAGGAAAAAGGGTACATGTATTATTCTGCATATATACACCAAAACAAGTATGGAAGGCTCATTTTGGCTCAGAATTTAACTTCATAAGCTCCAGTGAATTGATAGTACTTCCATGTTCATAGTATACTTCTTTATGACAATATTAAAAAGTAATCTATATGCTGTTTTCCTGCTTTCCTTTTCTTGATTTGCACGTAAACTAATGATAGTTTTGTTTCTATTTTTTTCTGCAGAATGGCTTTATCTGGAAATTACATCAGGATAATGCATGAGGATGCTAGAGTGTATCAGTACCATGTATCTTTTTCTCCAAGCATTGACTCAAAGAATATGAGATTTAAACTAGTAAACAATGTTCGAGATGTCATTGGATTTACAAAGGCGTTTGATGGGTTCATTCTTTATTTGCCACATCGCCTTCCAAATGAAGTGAGTTGGTGATTGTATAAACTGATGTCAGGTATCTGTTATTATGGCAGAGGTGAATATCAGAAAGTTTCCACAAATGTAAAGTATGTACGAGGGCTGTTCAATATATAATGTCCTGAACTGTAAGACATACAATACAGATACCACATGACATTAAACTTGACTTTCTCTCATTATTGAATCTTTACTGAATTTATAACAGTTTATGTGACCACTTTTCATCACATAGTTTCATCATGAGAGGCTGGGAAACAAGGGCTTTTCGAGACACTGCATTATAAATTAATGGTAAAGAATCAGTAAGCTAGAATGAAAATACAAGCTACATTAAATCTGCTGTGAAACTTGTTAAGAATCCCAAAAAAATATTCACTGAAATATGTGACATTTACAGCAACCGATGCCTGTTTTATAGACAAATGAGCAGGTGGATTTCATTAATAAAAAATTAAATTATGGGCATCAAAAATGGGTACCCTCCTTGCCAACAAAAATTATAACAACTTATGTACTGTTTGCCAAATTTCAACAAATAATATTTGATGATGTATGATTGACTTTAAGACACATAGTTAATTTGATAGACATCATATCGGGAGTAATTTACACTGTTTTTAAGAAACGTTTGACAGTAAAAAAGCTTGGTACTCAAAGGTCTCCCTTTATTTTGAAAAATGAGTGAAAACGTCAGCATGTACGAAAGTCTCAACAATTTTTTTAAAATATCAGTAATTGTAGTTATCCACGTTTGTTTGATATTCAAACAGATATTGGAACATGAATCTATTGCTTAAAACCATCAAAACAAAATTTACCATAAGATGTACTTGATAAAAACGGCGAAGGTCTGACAAAGGCAAAGGTATGCAAGAGCACAAAGACAGATTTATATGCAATTTTCTTAAATATTAGTGGTATTGTTGTTCAAATTTGTATTCGGGGAGACAGTTTAATATCTGGAGGAGTCTAGAAAGCAATTTTTTGTCAAAAAAAATCGAAAGGTTTATTAGAGGAAGGACCCAGAATCAGGAATCCACTACATTGAATTTCTTCATGCCCTGAAGAGTAAAGGGGTTTTCGGGATAAACAAAAGTTAATGTTTTTTACATTAACAATATTTGCCAGATCTTTGACCTTTTGACTTGTTTCTATTTCCAAACTTGAAAAAAACACCTTTCATAAGGAAAAAACAAGTCCAGGAAATCATTGGATCTGCCATTTTCTAGTATACTAAGGGTCATACCCAAAAAGAGTTCTAAAAACAATAGGAAATTTGATAAAAAAATGTTACGGACATGTGTTTGAATTAAAAGGGATTAATAAGTAAAATCATGAAGACTAAATCATTGAAAAGCGTCGTTTGCTTCTTTCTGAGCACCGAGGACATTATTTATTGAACAGCCCTCGTACAATGGGGACTTAGCAGTTGTATGTGAGGGATTCTTACACTAGGCAAATTCTCAGTCAGTGTTTGGATTTTTTTCTATTTTTAGGAGACGGTGCTACAAAGTAAGAGGCCAACTGATGGCGTTGATATTACTATCACCATCAGATTAACAAAAATGATAATGCCAGTACAATGTGTTCCTCTCTATAATATCATATTCAGAAGGTCAGTTACTTTGAAATTTGTCTTAATTTCATCGGTAGATCTCACAAATTAAGACTGTTCAAAAGTGCTCTAATTTAAGACTGTTTAATATCCACAGGAAAACTAATTACTTTCTCTATGACAGTTATCATCTGTTAATTCTTGTGTTTAAATAGGGCATCTTCAGAAGAAAAGTGTAAAGTTTAAGAAAACTTTTTTCAGTTGTTTTTCTTTAATATCTTGTAACGCGTAATTTTCTTCTTCTTTCAGAATAATGAACATTCTTGAAATGGTTCAAGTTGGTCGTTATTACTACAACCCCAAAACACCATCAGTTGTTCCACAACACAGGTAGCTTATTATTGACTAGTCAAGTAGTTTATTAGATCTTCAGTGCAGAAAGGCAGATGATTATGCAGCGGAAGATTTTTGTATTTTTTAATGATTTTAATATAAATTCTAGGCTAGAAGTCTGGCCAGGGTATATCACATCGGTGTGTGAAAATGAAGATGGTCTCATGCTGTTAGTAGATGCCAGTCACAGAGTGTTGAGAACAGAAACAGTACTTCAGCTGATGTAAGTTCTTTAAATTTTAGTCTTATGTACATCTTTACAAATCTGAAGAAGGTTTTGAGGAGTAATATTGCTTTAATAAGTGAAATATTTCAAAATAGCTGTACATGTGTATTGGTTATAGGAAAACTACTGTGCAGAAGAATCCCAATGGCTTCCAGGATGAGTGTACACGGTCTTTGGTAGGAACAATAGTCCTCACACGTTACAACAACAAGACTTATCGTATCGATGACATTTTGTGGTCCAAAACTCCACTACACACCTTCAAGACAAGCCAAGGGTCAGAGCTCTCCTTTGTAGATTACTACAGGTAATACAAATATAGATTTTCAGCAAGTATTTATTTCGTAGACAGCAAAATTGCAATTAAAAAATATCTTTGTTTTTGAATTTGCATTTCAACTTCTGTCTAGCTTTCTTCATTTTAGGTTAGGTGTAAAATTTGGGACAAATGTTTGTGGAGTTCATATCAAACATATTAAGCATGATTATTAATTTGGGAAGAGATTCAATTAATAGAGTAAGTGTGCACCATTGGCTCTTAGGATAGCTGGTTAACATAAATACTGATAATTATCTGTTGACCGTCAACCTTTTTAACTTTGCCTAACTCAAGTACAAGAAGTTGCTTAGCCCCACAGATATCAATTGTTGTAGTGAGCTTTGGTCATACCATTATTCTTGTGTTGTAGGAGTAGGAATGCTTATCATAAAGAGATATCAATTGTTGTATTGAGCTTTGGTCATACCATTATTCTTTTAGGAATGCTTATCATAAAGAGATTACAGACCAGGAGCAGCCTCTACTGCTACACAGACCTAAAAAGAAACAACTACCTGGTGTAAGTCCACTGTTAGAGGAGGATTAAACCAATTTACATTTTTTAAATCAGTCTGATTCCTCTGATGAAATTTTCTGGAATTTGGGCTTTCAGCAGCCAACCCATTCTAATACAGTGTATTTCTCTTAAGGTTTGTGACTTGTTTTATTACAGTATCAAGGTTTCTATCTATGTGTTAATGTGTGATATATTGTCTAGCAGTTCAGTATTAGTCTTGGATGCTGAAAATTTGTAAAAAAAATATTGGAAAACTTTATTTTATGGCATTTTTAACGTCTCAGAAAATGAACTGAAAAGTACACATTTTAAGGTGTGCAGCACTCTTTTTGTTATTTTTCTGCATTTTACAGGTTTATTTTTTATTTTAATTGACTTGTTCATTTTGCTCATGTATAAGGTTTGAGACATAGAATCTAGAATATCTGTACAAAAACGTTAACTACAGCTTTTTTCCACTATAAGCACCAACCATGGTTTAGTGGTACACAATATTCAAATGATCATGCCATAATGACTTAACACTTATGACTCAAAATTCATCCTAAAAAACTGATCAGAGAATTAAGTTAAATGATTTTTTTTCAACAATCAGTTTGCAGAGTGACATTTTATATATGCAGAAATAAAAAGATAAAATCATAATGATGGAATTACAATGTATAAGTATTGATGTTTCATTCATTAAGAATGAGGAGAGTTGTTTTTGAATTTGTTTTTCAAATCATGTCTGCATTCTGTTTGTATGATGTTTGTGTGAAGAAAAACATATTTACTTTTGAAAATTTTTAAATCTTAAATTTTAAAGAAGGTATAACAGATGCAGAAAAAATTCTGTAACATAGGTATGATAATCTTTGTAGGGTAAAGTGCCTGAAAAAAGTGAAGCAATTTGCCTTATCCCAGAGTTTTGCTATTTGACTGGGCTTACTGATGAACTGAGGCAAGATTTCCGAGTGATGAAGGTATGCTTATCGTTGGAATAATAAAGGCTAATAAAGTGTTAAGAGTGTTGGTTCTGTTTAATAATTAAAAATCTCTTGTAGGATCTTGCTTCACACACCAGAGTGACACCAGAGCAAAGAGTGGCGACTATGAGGAAATTCATCAATGCTGTCAATAGTAACCCAGAGGCCAAGAAAGAGCTGACCAACTGGGGGCTGAGCTTTGCCGAGAATACGATAGATGTGAGTGTCATGGGCGTAGTGCATAGCTGAAATACATAGCTAAAGCTACTTTTAGACTGCTTTAGTAATCGGACATTTATTCAATGTTCTAAACTGTTGTGCAAATTAAAGAGATTGGTGCATGATCAGGTAATTGTCAAAGAAACATCCAATCAAAAAATCATTTAGCACAGGTAGCTGGCCTGTCAATCGAATCAGCAGCTTTTGTATTTTTGTTTGACTTCAGTAGAGATAAGGGAATTTAACATAAAACTAAGGATTTGAGTAAAGAAATATGTTATGTATTTGTTCCTATTTATTAAGACACCATATGTGTCATTTTAAGTCTATTTCTAACAATGTTTTTGTTTTCCAGATTGCTGGTAGACAAGCTCAGCAGGAAAAGATCATCTTTGGTAATAATTACACGTGTATGGCAGGACCCCAGGCAGACTGGAGCAGGGATGCCACCCGCAGTAAGGTCCTCACTCCTGTCGACCTGAAGAACTGGACTCTGTTATTTGTTAAGCGGGATGCAAACAAGGCCATAGAGTTTATGAACATGATGCAGACTTGCTGCCGGCAGATGGGCATTCAGTGTAACAAGCCAAATCAAATTCAGCTTAATGATGATCGTGTGGACAGTTTGAGTAGGAATCTCAGAGATAGCATCAATCCATCGGTACTCAATGTTACAAAAATAACAAAGATGTCTACTGACTGTATACTTAACTTTGGTGCTATTCAATTATTTATTTAAAAGAAAGGTCAGGCAATGATCTGAGTTTGTTGACTTATTTTTTAAAGGTCCAGTGTGTGGTTGTTGTTTGTCCAACATCCAGAGATGACAAATACTCCGCTATCAAGAAAATTTGCTGTGTTGAAATGCCAGTTCCCTCTCAGGTACTTTATGTATTTGCGTCATTTACTTAGGTCACCTGAGTTACACAGGTGACAAATTGCTATCTGTATTCGTCCGCTGTATGTTAAAATTTGAACATTTTCAGCTTCTTCTTTGCAAATGCTCAACCAATTTCAGCCAATTTTTGCAAAAAAATAAAAAAAAATGGGCGAAGGGGTACAAAAGCTGTGAATTTCATGGACCCTGGGGCCTGAGGGGCGGGACCAAAACCATTAAAATTAGTGCAATCATTAAAAATCTTCCTGTCTACTCTTGGACATTAAGCAGTCAAACTGTTGGGGTGATTGTAATAAGCATTGAGTCCTCTACCAAAATTGTGAAATTCTTGGCCCTAGGGTCGGGAATTTTAGTGCTAGAGCAGGGCTATTTAGATTATATAGTTTAAAATGCATTATTTCTTTGAAAATCTCCTTCTCTGCTGCTGGTCAATAAATAAGCTAACCAAGTACATAATTATGTTAAATGAGACTGGTTCATTCAAAATTGTGAATTTCATGGCCTCTGGTTTAAAACATGAACCAACTTAATGGTTGGAAAGTTGTTACATGATGCTCAGGTGACCTATAAGGCCCATGGGATTTTTGTTTAAAGTCATACATGTATTTATTTGCCATGTTATGAATATGGTGCTTTAATGTCCCATGGACTTGTTTTATTAACTAAATAACTTGTATGTAGAAAACCAGAGTTCAAACATTTACATTTACCTGTATTTATACAATTCTTATTTTGTGTTGAAAGGTGATCATCGCCAAGACAATTTCGAAACCTGACAAGTTGAGGAGTGTTACTCAGAAAATTGCCCTACAAATTAATTGCAAGCTTGGAGGAGAGCTGTGGGGATTAGATATCCCAATGGTAATATTAAGCTTGTGAAAGTTTTTATACCCCTGCTCCAAAGGAGAGGGGGTATTATTAGTTACATAGTTTTTGAGTTGGCTCGCGTAGCGAGCTACTCCCTGTCGACATAGCCGTTTCAGAGCTGTAAATTTTTTCACGCATTCATCAAGGTGATCCATACGCCAAATATAATAGTTCTAGCAAAAAATGCTTTGGTTTGAGTGATTGAATAAACTTAAGAGGTAAAAACTGTATAAAATTTCATACTGTAACATTATTTATGCCTTCATGCTTTTAAATACCTGTACGATGTACAATAATACTGCGTATGAATATATGTTCAAGTATGTTAGGCGGATCTAATCTTCCCATCTGAAGTTTATTTATAATTGACCTAGAATACTCCCTAACACAAACACCTGCTGCTCTCATTAGCTGCAGCTAGTTGTTGTTGAAATTGTATTTTTAGAATCCAGATTTGCTGTGGGAATCTTTAACCTAATTATTCCATAACACTGACCACTTCAGCTAATGTGCTGAAATCCAGTCAAAATAATACGGAAGCCCATTAGTGCCAACCTGTATATATAAAGGAAAAGCAATATACACTTTAATTATGAACCGAACATGGATCAGACATATAATATTCAATCTCTTAAGATGCAAAATAAACTGAATATATTAAGGTATGGTGCCCAGATGTATGAAAAAGCTCAATTGACTCGAGCGAGTCAACTCGCAGGCCTTTCAGGCCTTTGATTTGGTGACAGGGTACGGGATGATACCTGGTTAGTAAATTTCATACATGACTCGACTCCGCCTGGCGCCTCGCCAGGCATCTGCCTTAACTGAACTTGACGTGTATATTAACATCAGAGCGGGGGTATTACTAGTGAGCATTGGCTCACAGACTTCTTGTTAATTTCACTTTCGCACAAATGTAATCTGAAATCTGAGATATCATATTTATTTATGTATATATATTTAAATTCAGCAAAGTACAGTGGAACACACTCATAGCAAACATGTTATAATGAATTTATGCTTAAAGGTAAAGCAAAGTAAATTTTACTCCTTATGATTTAAAATCATTGCAGATTTAATAGATCTACTTTTTTCCCTACATATTATAGTCCAATCTGATGGTAGTTGGAATAGATGTTTACCATGATAAAGCACAAAACAAGAGATCGATCGCCGGGTTTGTAGCCAGCACTAACAAGATGTGCAGTCGCTGGTACTCCAAGACAGTACTTCAGATGCCCGGTCAGGAGCTCATTGATGGACTCAAACTTTGTATGACTTCATCCATCAGGAAGTATCATGAGGTAAGAGACAATTAGGATTTGGCAAATGGCAATATTGGATTTACTTGCCCCTGTAGGAAGGTCACCCTTATCTTAGCAAAAATAAAACATAGTAAAACCTATATTGCAAATGAAGATTGAATATTATAGACAGCCAATGAATATAAAGCCATATTGAATTGTATAGACAGCCAATGAATATTAAACCATATTGAATTGTATAGACAGACAATGAATATTAAATCATATTGATTTTTTGATTTTTCCAAAAAAAATTTTGAATGAAAATGTGTCAACTATTAAAGAATAAATTTGTTGTTTTAATTACTTCTTGTATTCAATCCATATTACAAAATGTTGGATGATAAGAATATTAGGAAATTGTAATATTTTGATAATTTACAATTGGTGAACAGCATTAAAAAAGAAATTAGTAATATATTCTATGGAAGAAGTAAAGTAAGTGAAATATTTTTAAAAGAAATATATTTGTTCAGATAAAATCTTTCCAGAGATTTCCTTTCACTTCACGGATTTTTGCATTTATAGTCATTTATTAAAATCAAATGAGGCTTTTATTCATTTGTTCATATCTCATTGTTGAATACAGTATATTATCAATTTTTCGAATATACAGGTAGTTTTACATTGAATTTATCGTATTTTGCAATATTCCAGGTTAACCATGTTTTCCCTGAGAAGATAGTTGTCTTCCGTGACGGTGTAGGGGATGGAGATCTTAAGTATATTGACCATGAGATTCAGCAGCTACAGCAGTGCTTTGGAAACTTTGGAGGAGAGTATGCTCCCAAACTCTCAGTCGTGATTGTACAAAAAAGGATAAATGCACGAATTTTCTTAAAGGTATTACTTTTATTTCAGTTCTTAAGAAACTAATGCACAAGTATCTTTGCAGATAAATATATCTATTTAGGATAAATATGTTTAAGTAAGCTTGGATGACTACAGTATTCCATGTTTCTATTACAGGGAGATCGAGGCTTTGACAATCCTCCACCTGGTACTATTGTGGATCACACCATTACCAGGAGAGACAAGTAAGATCCAAGAATTATTTAAGGAATGTTTTTAAGTTTTGTGTGAGTTATTGGTGTGTGAATCACACAGACTTGTCACGTAGGCATATTTCATGAAGCGCGCTAGCGCTTCATGAAAATTATGCCTACGTGCAAGTCTGAGTGATTCACACACCAATAATTCACACTAAACTGAAAAACATTCCTCATTTTTACATTTTAAATGTTCGGAAGCAACTAAAGTATGCCAAATATTTGAATTTCTAGCTGCCCTATATCATTGCATTTTGCTATTGTCGCTGCAGCCTCATTGTGACGTCATGTTAACGCACGTTTCTCCGTGTATATTTCTACGCGTGATCTGAGTATACATGAAAATGGTTTTCAAATCAATTTCACAGTTGGCTTAGTAGAAAAACACAGCGAATGTAAATATGTGTATATTTATCTTTTTCCTGCCAAACAAATTTTGTAATGTAGGTTCATACTATTTCTTATCTTGTTTCAAGCAATTCCCGATGGGCCTTTGTACTTGCAAACCTTTGGCCTATGATGTTTAAAGCTCAAGTTGTTAATTTCATGTTTGATAATCTCACATTTTACCTCTTTACCCATAGGTTACCTCTTTACCCATAGATTGCATATTTGAGAAATAGTATATTTTTTACCAAGGCCAAACAACTTATAAACTTTATGGTGCAAAATGGCTGTATTCTGATAAGTAACCAGTCATATGAATTTCAATTTCAGTGTTATTGCGTATTCATACATGTTAACTCTCCCGATTTAGGCGGGAGTCTACCGCTTTTTCACTCCATCTCCCGCCTACCGATTTAATTCAGAAATCTACCGCTTTTCTACAAAAGCTGCGTCTGAAGTATTTTTGGTTCGCTTGGGTATCCATTTTTGAAGCCACTCTCATAAAATCTCGCTAGATATCGCGTGATTTGACTCGGAATCATACAAACGCTTTTTTGTACATAGATTTCAAGCACGGATTTGACAACGACAACAACATAAGCCTACCAGTGATTACATTGGTTACGATAAATTAAACAACATCCCTGCCATGAAAAAGGAGATACAGCTTTTAAGAATTAGATGAAAACATTTGACATCGTCTTTAAAAGCACAGAAGCTCACAACTTTATCAATAAAGTCAATAGAAATCACTTGATTGTCCAAGCCATGTGGCACATCTCTACTTTCGTTTTCGATCATCGCGGGAAATCTGATTTATTTAACGAAAGATACGAACTTGTTTTAGATCTAGATTAAACCATGCCATCATTTGTTTTGTTTAAAAACTGAATGAACATTCAGAATTATTGCCTCTAGGCTATTTCAGCAAAGATCACTCTTCAAAAGGCTAAGTAAAGCAGCCAATCCAAGCAAAATGATGAGCATGAAAAATATTTGAATTTGTACAATTTATGTCAAACTTAAGGTGTTTCTGTCTTCTTCTTTGCTGTTGATATTTAAGATTAATTAGTGTAGGTACCTGATTTCATTTAAGGCTTATAATATACATGTATATTACATGAAAGATATCGATAATCCAAGCGTTAAACAACACGCGCGCAACGCTACCGCTTTTGAGGTCTGAATCTCCCTCTTTTTCATCACAATAGGTTAACATGTATGGCGTATTGGACTAGTTTAAATGATTCAGTATTATTGAGTATCCCTTCGTTAAACATTAGATTCATAGATCTAGTCATGAAGTATTCCACACAGAGGTTCTAAAGAACAGCAATAGTACTTATTTATTGTAGAATGAAGTTTGTCTAAATTATTACATTTGGGGGTAGGTTGGGACTACAAAAGGTGATCAGAGTTATACATTGGAATATATTGTTATATAAACAGCAGGTCTATAATGACTCAGGTGAGTATCATGACCAATGGTCTCCTGATAACTTAATAATTTTTGGCAATGTGACAGGGGTGTTAGTGAAATTCGTGAGTTGAAAATGAAAATATGGCAAGATGTTAACTTGCATAGATCTACTGTAACCCAACATCTTTTTCAATTGGGGATTTGTCTGTATGAAAAAATTAGTTTACATGCTACATGTATGTACCTGACGGTGTTATGATTTTGTAGGTACGATTTCTTCATTGTCTCCCAGCATGTGAGGCAGGGAACAGTTTCCCCCACTCACTACATCTGTGTTCATGACAGTATTGGAATGAAACCTGATCATCTTCAGAGGCTCTCCTACAAAATGACACACCTGTACTACAACTGGCCCGGTACTGTCAGAGTACCTGCTCCTTGTCAGGTAAACACGTACCACAGTTCATAAGTATGAAATTGGTTAATAATGGCACAGGATGCAAAAAAAAAAACCTCTTGTTTAATTGTTGATGCAATTTAAAATTGAGAATTTGATGTCATTTCTTTCTCTTCCAATTGTCCGACACAAAATGGTTATACCTGAAGATTTATTTCAGTATGCCCACAAGCTGGCCTATCTGGTGGGACAGAACATCCATAAGGAGCCCAGTGCTGAACTCTCTGACAGATTGTTCTTCTTGTAAACCACATGTATTTCCAACACTTCCAAGATTCAGGGATGCTTAAGACAAGGCAGCAATTTATATGGATATCAGTGTCTGAATTTTGTTTCTTCTGTGTCAGCAAAGTAGCTGAAGGTACTTTAGTTAGGTGAAAAATAGTGAGAGCTATTTATTTTCTCGTGGTTCCTTAATGGCAGTCCCTGTCTGTGTTATTTTGTAAAGGATACTTTTAGAACTTAGCTTTTACATAGACTTGACATATTTTTGTTTTGTTGTTTTTTTTTTTTTTAGCTCAGAGTCCCTTGTAGCACTGCCAGAAACCTTTTTTTTAATTAATATGCAGATATTGTTTTAATTATATTTTCTTATACTGTTTATTAAAGAAAATATAATAGGTTGTGAAAAGAAAACATTGATTTTCTAGCATCTACTTTCCAAGATTTAATCTTCACTATGTACACAATAAACCTAGTATTTTAAGCAAATTGAACTTCAGTAGCTGGAACATAAATATGTTGAATACCATGGAAATGTTAGAGTGGGTTAGAAGTCTCATTCAATATTTTCTGTACATGTATTTTAACTTCCATTCTCCAACTTTTGGTTATCTTAGTGATTTCTTGGTCAGATATCTTGAAGTGTTTTCTTGGTCCTGAAAAGCTTAAGATAACTAAGTCTGACAAAGCACAATATTGTTTTTGAAAAAAATATGCTAAAATACTGTAGAAGTACTTTTTTCCGCGTGGTATTAATTTACGCTATGAAGACGGTCACAAATTTTCCGCGCAAATTTGCCCAAGCATATTTAATATAAATGTAAGGCATATAGTGACAATCTAGAAAATCGGCTTAATTTTCTACCCGTGGATTAAACAGAAATTGAGATTCTGTGTAATTATGACCCTGTGGAAAAAAGTATGTCTACAATACATTTATTTACCCCATTAGCTTCTCTAACATCTTATTTATGCAAATGTACATTTTCTGACAATTTTTTATAAGTATACTCTCATGTACATGTACTTCACTTCAAAATATACTGAAAGCAGCCATAGTTAACCATACTTCCCAATATTATAATGCTAGAACTGAAAGGTTCGTCCACATTCAAATGTATCATTACTCTACCCAACCAATTTATATTGTTTTTGCAGTACCATAATCAAAATTTATACACTTGTCTGTGTACACTGTAAGTATGCAGTTTTAAATCTAGTCATGACAGCTTATAAGGAGCTGTATAGTAATACAGGTCAGAGGTTGGTAAATCTGTTCTCATATACTGTTTAAAGGGTTATTTTCGTCAAATTAAACTTTCAAATGGTTTTGGTCGATTTTCAATTCATCCATATAGTTTTGTTTAAGAAATTTTACAGTTCTGTGAATTTCCCCATTTTAAGTTCACCCACTAGTGCCTAGGGGGAAAATAAATGGGGGGCAAAAATGTCCCTGTATACAGTACTTTCTTCCATGCTTTTCCTTGGCACAAAGGCTTGTCGCATCTGTTGCTCTAAATGAATACAGCATCCTAAATAATAATATTGTCATTTTTCAGTTTGAAGGATCTCGGAAGAAAAATGAGACAAAGTATTCAATTTTTAGGACAGTGTTTTTGGATATCCAGATGTTTTACCATCTATTAATTCTTTCAAAGCTTGGTTATTTTATGTTGGAGGAAATTTAAAATCTCAGTTGTTAAACAGTTTGTATTCACAGTACCAATGAATGTACAAATGAAGTCAATGTGTTAATGGGGGCATTATTCATTAGATTTAGCAAAGTTTCAGAAGATATAGTTATGAGCATATCACCTTAAAAATCATGTTATGTATTATGATTTTCTCTTTTGACAGAATTCATTTAAATTGCATAAGACTATGATGCAATTAATATTGTTTTCCATTTTTTAGTATACTCAAAGATGTAATAAATTGTTGATTAAATGTTTTGTTTCTTGTCTTATCCTTAACTCATTAAGGACAACGTAGGAGAGATTACAGAGCTCACCTCAACGAATATTGTCTTAAACTCAAGTGAAGCTAAGTCCTACCTAAAACTAATAATAGGTCACGGAGATTACACCGCTTTCCTCAAAGAATGTGGTCTTGAAGTAGGGCAAAGTCTCACATTAAACTAATAATCTGGAGTGTCAATCCCGAGATACATGTGGAACATTTTACATGCAATTTTGATCCGATAGGACTTGCATTTACTTAGGAATAGACATCCAAAAACGTCAAACTAGTCACTCATTCAAAAATCTTAATTGTAATTTTAAATTAAAATCTTGCATCTATTATTTGGAGATGATAGCTTAAATACACATAGAAAATAAATTGAGGAATACTGGTAGTACCCTTTTTCGTGTGCAATACAGAAACACCTACGGATGGCACCATACCTCTCTGGATGTCGATTCCAATTTTTAGGTCACCTGAGTCACTCAGGTAACCTATTGCTCTCTGTTTTTGTCCATCATTGTGTGTTAACATTTGAACATTTTCAGCTTCTTCTCTGAAACTACTGAACCAATTTTAACCAGATTTGGTATACAGCATCCATGGGCATCGTCTCAAGCCACGGTCCGGAGTCCGCATATAGCTCTTTCCTATGGGAGAGGATCGTACATTTTGGCCGTGGTTTGCGACGATGCATCCATGGGTAAAGGGGAACAAAAGTCATGAATTTTATGTTCTCCCCGGGGCCTGAGAGATTGGGGCCAAAACCACTAAAATTAATGCAATCTTTAAGAATCCTCTTTACTCCCTGGACATCAAGCAGTCAAACTGTTGGCATGAATGTAATGAGCATGGAGTCCTCTACCAAAATTGTGAATTTTATGGCCCCAGGGTCAGGGGTTCTGATGTTAGGGTGGGGTTCTTGATTATATAGTGAAAATACATTCTTTCAAAATATTCTTCTCTGCTCCTGGGTATTAAAGCTGACATGAATTCTTAAAAACGCAACTTTTTCATCTATGTACCACTTGTTTCATACCAACTATAGCCGTATTCCGCCATATTTCTTTCAGATACCTTGTTTTATTGTAACGATATATGGTTACGATATATACCCGAATGCCCTCGTTACACTTGAATGATTATTTGGCTTGGCTATCGACTTGTGCACATCTCCCATAGTAAAACATTTGAAAACACATGGGTTGATCAAGACATTTCAAAACCACACAACATATTTCTGAATAATTATAGATTTGAATGAAATATAATAAAAAAAGAAAGAAAACGCAAGTTTGAAAGAAATATTTAGTTGCACGAGTACGCATTTTTTACACTGCGCCAATTTATGCAGAATAAACATGAAATAAAAAGCACTAAAACCCGTAAACACACTTTGTTTTGTTCCATTCAAATTATCATTTGAATGGAACAAAACAATCAGCGTCTTTGATTTGCAGGTTTTCTGCAGACTTTGATGCATGTCGAGAAAACGCGTCGAACGCTGTAAACGTACCCATACCTAGTAATAAGATCACTGCATCGGTTCGAAGATGTGCACAAGTCAAGTGATATACACCCTGAATTCCATTTATTGAAATATGCATCACAAAAAAGAAATAAACTCCATAAAAACTCAATAAACACACTGTATCTACTCCGTACAGTCTAGCGCGTCGATACACTTGGTCCGTGCTGATCAGATGTTGGTCAGGGAAAATATCACAAGTGGAAAAGAGTGGTATTTGCGCGGCTGAAATGGGGGGGGGGGTCTAAAGTATAATTATAACGGCTTCATAAGGTATAACTGAAAATTGTCTATCTAGTTCTAATAAACATTCTTTATAAAGTCTGCAGTTGTTTTGTATCGCAAAATTCATTTGTCAATTACAACTGATTATTTTAGTACTAATCTCAAATCTAAATCAAGTAATTTGATATACGGTAAATATTTAGTTCAAGACTTAAAAACATTTAACCAGAATACAAAAGTTTATGTGTGCATCTGTACGTTCCTTAACACATACGCGGAAAAAACATCCCCCTTTTAGACTGATATTGAGGCATTTGTATTTTAAGGGGGGGGGGGGGGGCAGAAATAATTGACATGGCCGTTACCTAAATATTCCTGGAAGACAGACATTTCTGCCAATTCCATTTTTGAAGATTTTTTATTGTCTCACTCCGACCACAAAGTATGAACATTTTTGCGGAATATGGCTGTTTTATAATTACTACAGGAAGTCTTTCGAGATTTCAGTATCCCTGTCTGACAGTCTAGTTTTTTTTTAAAATAAAAATAATTTCTGTTGCAATATTTGGGAGATACTTTTAAAAACCTTGGTAGGGAAACTTGAAACCTGGTGGAATACAGATAATTTTTAATTACTCTTTTATTCATTGAACTCTCTCTCTCTCCTCCTGTAACCATCTGTAAGCGCAATAATAGATATAAAATCATATGTATTTTGTGCTGTACCATTTATTAGATCTTGGGACAGATCATAGATTTTTTTTTTGTCAGGCGGGGATGTCGAAACTTGTTCAAAAATTGAAATAATAATTTTACTTTTGACAAGAAAATAAACCTAAACGCCGAAATTGAAAGGAAAAAAATACATGTAAACCTGAAGTCTACATCATAGGAATGGGATCATTGGGAACTTTCTCAAATACATGTACCTTCTCGGGTAAGGAATCTGGACAAAAATTATTTAGACAAGAGGTATCAAAAAGCTAATTTTTGGTAGAATGTGGAACTCTCATCGGCAGTTTGCTTTCCCTTCCTATATGCTTCGACTATTAATAATTTATATCCAACCCAGATATTTCTTGACATGCAAAAAAAAAAGAACCCCGTAAACTCGCCCAAACTTCAAAACCTATTTCGGGGTGGGGGGGGGGGGGGGTTTCCTACGTAACTTTTTTCTGGCTTTAGTAAATAAATTTAATAACATTGCAAATCCCAGGGGAGGGGGGGGGGTCCTAACCCCCTCTAGATCCGCGCATGGCACTCATGCATAGAATCACAACACAGCCACTTCAATTTATATTGATGGGGGACCTCCAAAATCAGTTGACAGGCAAAAAAAAAAAACAAACAAAAAAAAAACAACAAAAAACAAAACAAAACAAAACAAAACAAACACAAAAAACAAAACAAAAAAACCTAAGCACCACACTCTATACAATCCCTTTTGGTAGGGGATAAAGGAGGCTTCCTGTAACTTTTCTGTTCAGTACATTACTTTTGAATGCTTGAATCTGCGTATTTTCCTGCAAACAAAAAATGTGAAGGGAGCTTCCAAATCACAATTTTAATTTATTTAAAACTGCAGCAAAGATTATCCTCAGAAAAAGTGAGCCCCCCCCTCCATCTGCATACTACGGGAACATTTTAAACCTTTATCTTTACCGAATCGAAATATTTCATGCATACTTCTTAAAGTAAGTTAATTCTGAAAATGATATGGTCCAAAAATGGTAACAAAAAGTTCGCTGGAATCTTCCTTGCATGTTACTTGTGGGTGATCGAAGCCCTTAGACAGGGTTACCAAGACAAGATAGAACTTGTCCCCATTGTAATTTAAAAGAACTCCGAGGTGAGTTTCATTACATACTAAAGTGCAGCTCGCTACTTTCAGAAAGAATGCTTAATATGCTTAACAGAAAAAAAGCATAAATTTTCAGAATGTAATTAATTTTAAACACATTATGAATAACAATAAACACTGTTTCCTGAGAAAATTGTGCTCGTTTATAAAGAAAAAAAAATAAAATATGCCCCCAGCCTAAATTATCATACTTCACATTTATAGCAACGTACAATTTTTTGGTTTAGTTTCTTATTCACGCATGCTTTATAGATCTACTGTGATGTACAAAATCACCTATATATTTTGTGATTTTTGTATACTGTTGTAAAATGGTGAAGAGATTCAAATAGTTGATTGAAAAATGATTGAAGGTACGCGGAGGAAAGCAAATCCGCGAAAATCTACAGATCTAGAGAACTGAAAGGACAGAGATTTTTTTTTTCTTCAAATTATTCATATTATTAGACGTATAAATATCTATACACTATATTACAGAAAAAAACATTCTCTCTCTCTCTCTCTCTCTCTCTCTCTATGTGTGTGTACAAAAATAAAGGCCGGGGGTTCCAATCCCTGGAACCCCACTCCACCTCTGGATCCGCCAATGAATTCTATTTTGATTATTCATGTACCATAGAATCAAACTCGTTTATTGTGTATAAAATTATGAAAATAAGTTTAAATCAAGTTATATAAGGTCTTTATTTTAAAAAAAATAAATAAATAAAGCCAATACACATTATTTATAATGAAAATATTTGATCGTAAAAAAATCCGATCTTTTTCAGAGAGCGTTATGCATTTTTTTTTTAACCCCCCCCCCCCCCTTTAACGGGAGAATCTCGTCAAAGGATGAATGATTCGTAGTGTTGCATGCTATAAAATTAATTTAATGTAATTAAGCCATGTCTAAAAATTTTGTTTACATTTACATATACAGACAAGAGTAATATTTATTTTTGAAAAAAAAAATTGCACTTTTTCAGTCAACCAAAATACCAGTAAGCTTTCCACCTTTGAAATTTCCCCTGACCAAATAGACTATCGTCGTGGACCACGTGTGTCCAAGTGCTATGTGGTGACAATTTTTTACTGTTCAGTTAGCAATGGATTACATGAATTCTGAGATGCATATTTCAATAAAAGTAAAATAGGATATTTCTTTCGACATGTGCACATCCCTGTAACGATAGCAGTATTCAGGTAAATATCTTTATCATTGCGTTCGATGCGTATTCTCGACCTGCATGCGTGCATATCCAAACGGCTTTTGCTGTTTTCCGTGTTATTTTTTCTAAATTGCAGCAAATGCATTCAAAAATAATTTACTTCTCAGTATAGTTCTAGTTTTTGTTAACTTTTAAAACATGTATTTGGTCAGTTTATGGATTTATTACAACTATGCTATCGGAGATGTGTACATGTCGACAGCCAGGCTAGAAAATCACTCAAGTGAAACAAATGCACCAGGCTTTATATAACAGGTACGGGTGGCCAAAAATTTTCAAGTAAATATGGCGGAATCGACGAAATATGGCGGACAAAGGCGTACAGGAATGTAGTAAGTCGTACAAAGATGAAAAATAATGCCTTTTTAAGAGTTCATGTCAGCTTTAAGTAAACTAACTAAGTACATAGTTATGATGAGCAAGAATGCCTCTTCCAAAACTGTGAATTTTATGGCCCCAGGGTCAGGGGTTCTTGTGCTAGGGTGAGGCTCTATTTATTATCTAGTGAAAATACATTAATTCTTTGAAAATCTTCTCTGCTCCTTAGTATTAAATAAACTAAGAACATAGGTATGATGAGCAAGAATGCCTCTTCCAAAACTGTGGATTTATGGCCCCAGGGTCAGGGGTTCTTGTGTCAGTGTGAGGCTCTGTTAATTATATAGTGAAAATACATTAATTCTTTGAAAATCTTCCCTGCTCCTGGGTATTAAATAAACTAACTAAGTACATAGTTATGATGAGCAAGAATGCCTCTTCCAAAACTGTGGATTTATGGCCCCAGGGTCAGGGGTTCCATTGTTAGGGTGGGGATCTATTGATTATCTAGTGAAAATACATTAATTCTTTGGAAATCTTCTCTGCTCCTTAGTATTAAATAAACTAAGAACATAGGTATGATGAGCAAGAATGCCTCTTCCAAAACTGTGGATTTATGGCCCCAGGGTCAGGGGTTCTTGTGTCAGTGTGGGGCTCTATTAATTATATAGTGAAAATACATTAATTCTTTGAAAATCTTCCCTGCTCCTGGGTATTAAATGAACTAACTAAGTACATAGTTATGATGAGCAAGGATGCCTCTTCCAAAACTGGATTTATGGCCCCAGGGTCAGGGGTTCTGGTGTTAGGGTGGGGATCTATTGTTGATATAGTGAAAATACAATATTCTCTGGTCCTTAGTATTAAATAAACCAACTAAGTACATACTTATGTTGAGCAAGAAAGCCTCTTGGAAAAATTTTGAATTTTATGGCCCCAGGGTCAGGGGTTCTGGTGTTAGGACGGGGCTTTATTGGTTATATAGTGAAATGCATTAATATTAAATCATAAAAAATGTTCTTCTTTGCTCATGGGTATCAAGCAGATGAACTACCTATATATCTATGATAAGCAAGGGTCCTTCCAGCATTGTGAATTTCAAGGCTCCTGGATCAGGGGTACCATAGAGGGGGGGGGGGGGTCTACTTGAAATGTCCTTGGTATTAATCAAACATTCTTTATAAGCAAGGGTGCCTCTTCAAAAATTGTGCAATGTGTGGACCTAGGATTAGGGGTTCATGTGTGGTAGGGGCACTACTGATTATTGCTGAATATATTTGATTAGTTGAAATGCATTTTTTGTTCCAGTACCCTGCCTATTGGTAATAAGTATTCAAACTAAGCAATTTCTAAGTGTATTGTTATGATGAGCAATGATGCCTCTTTCAAAATTTTGAATGCCATAGCATCTAGTTTAAAACATGAACCAAATTCAATCATTGGAAAGTTGTTGCATGATGCTCAGGTGACCTATAAGGCCCATGGGCCTTTTGTTTTCAGATATGAGCTTTATACCTGCAGCTATATAACTGAACCATGCAGGTCACAACATATAACTAGTCATATCAGAAATAAGAATCTTGTGAACATACTGTCATGGACCCCCTAACAATCTTGAATTAATTTTTCCATCAAAGAAGGGGGGGGCACAAAGTATAGACTGTGTCTGGCTTCTGCTCAGTACTGCTAAGAATCAAAACACAAATATTCTCTAAAAATCAGTTTATCAAGAAAGCATGTAACAAACATTTTATAACTGAGATGCAGGGGAAAAGCTAATGGTACTGTTACAGCATTTCCTGAACATATAAGTGAAATTTCAAAGCATTTTCCTCTTGAATATGTTCATGTACTGAATTTTTAAACTTCAGTCTTTGGTCTTCTGTGTTTTGGAGAAACAATGCTATCACACATCCACGTAGCTAAATCTTGGAATGCCTAATGCCACACAAGGCCTCAGAAGGAAGGCATGGCTAGCCAACAATGACTGGTTGTACGGACACTCAGCTGTTTGAGTCGGACTCGTGACTTTCACGAAGGGATATTTCATGGTCCAGTCGTTCTTCTAATGCTGCTATGAAGTCAGCAGGTAGATTCCTCTCCTCTCCGATTTTCTGAGCAATGGCACTTGCACTATCATTCTGTTGTGATAAAGAGAATGACAATATTAAACATAAAAGTAAGAATTACTAGATATTCTGATATTTTGTGATATATTTTTGTCATTACCAGTTGTATTTATTGATGTCTTGTGTGTTAATTTAAAACAAAAAAGTTGTTAACATTGTGATTGCATTTAATGATAAAATTAATCTAAAATTGTACATGTATGTACCCAGGTTTCAATTACAGAATTATTTAGGTTGCTGATTATCAATGGTATTGATCAATTTGACATCCCTTGTATATAACAATGCAGAAAACTAAAGATAAATTGTATCTTTGGAAGCATTATTCATATATTTCTGATGCAGATAAGGCAGATATTTAACAATCTTCTCCTAAAACTTGACTGGCCGTTTGCCTTAAAAATATGACACTTGTAGCATCCACAGCAAGAATTGTAGCACACATCCTCAGATGCATTAACAATGCAAAAATGATCAAAACAAGTATCTACTTTATAGAAAAATAATAGACCTGTAAGGCTGTTCCAAAAGCATGAATCTAGCTGGCCTTTTGTTGTAACACTTTAAGCTGGCCAGTTGCACGTACCTTAGAAATTTCTGTTCAGACACAGCATGCACAACAAAATGCACTTATCCACTGATGCATTATCTCTCCTGCATTAGTCTAGGTATGAATATATATACAACCTGGTAGCTTGACTCGCCCCCAAAACTTGACTCCTGGGATGCCAACAGTATAGCATAAACTTTTGCCAAGGTTACCTAAAATTCTTTATTTTATTCATAAAAATAATCCGATTGAATTAAATAAATACCTTACACACAGATGTCCTGTATATAGTTCCATCCTTATCTTCAAATTCCAGTAGGAAAATTTCTGAAAAGAATTGAAATTTAAAATGAAGAAGGAAAAAAATAAAACATTTATATGCTGATTAATTGATGAGTTCCAAACTTTGCTTGTCTGAACACCCATTTTCTATTGTTTTTAAAATACATGTAAGTATATGTTCAAGCCAATGCAGCAAACAAGTAATTTCTCAACATAGGTACAGTTCAATGAGACAATTTATGATCACCTTATGATACGCTTTATATTGTATTATTACTTCACTTTTGGACAGGTCTTAAAACTGTCACTTTTTAAATCTCAACATGACTAGCATTTACATTTTCTCCTCACAAACCCTTGGCCTATTAAACCATCTGTGAGAAGTGAATAGTGCTGAAAAGATAATTGGTATGTTCACATCATTTGAAGAGATTTTGGTTTCCAGCATTGATTTCACACAGTATGTTACCTTTCAACTTTGTAGGTGGGATGTACACATTAATATCAGGTTTCTTTGCTTTATTTTGCCGATGTCTTGGTTTCTCATTAAGTTTAGCTTTCACTTCCTTATCATATGTATCTCTACAAAAGAAAATGCTTTCTTAATGTTTCATGAATTGGAAGTCCCTAAAATTGTCATAATCTAATCAATTTGATATACATGTACTTTAAACTAGAAGGAGTCTTACAAAAGCCATGTTACTTCTACTAAAAATTTAATTAAATTAATTTAGCATGAAGAAAATGTATTCAAATAAACTCTTGTTGCAGTTCCGTAGCTTTTTAGTCTGAAAAAATTGGGATGGGTGACCAGAGAGCAATAATGCCATCCAATAATCAAGAGGCCCATGGGCCACATCGCACCTGAATAACTTTTGCCATTCTGTTCTGTTCTTTACAACTCCCCCTCCCCCTTGAAATACCTATTGTGGCCCTGCCCTATCCCAGGGGTCATGATTTGGACAATTTAGAATCTACACTATCCCAGGATGTTTCCACATAAGTTTTAGCTTTACTAACCCAGGGCATAGGGGTAGTCTGGTAGTGTCCATCCCTAGATGCATCATCCATGCAAGTTTGGTTCGGGTAGGGCTTATAATAACTTGGGAATGGACTTGCTCCTTAAAACTTTAACCAGGGACGCCAATGCTGGGGGTATACCATAAGCTCATCTCGACTTCGTCAAGGTGAGCTAAAAAGTTGAAAAATGTGAAAAGTTTACTGACAAACAGACAGACATTGGATGACCAGAAAAGCTCACTTGAGCTTTAGCTCAGGCGAGCTAAAAAATGTATATTTTTGCACAAAGAGTGGTTTTCTTGATTAATCTCTGCATATATTTAAAGTGCTTTCTCAACATATTACTAATGATGTATTCTTAACAGGTCCAGTACAATCTCTTGATTTAGCTATATAGCTTTAAATAGCTATATAGCTTTATCAAGCTATTCAGAATAACTTGATTTAGCTATTTTATCACACTTTTTTCTCAAATGTGTTATTTTTTTCAGCATGTACAAAAAGTCGCACCTTGGTGCATGGAGATATTAAACTTTGAACTATTCTGAATACAATGCATTTAAAAATCATTCACCAAAATGTGTCTCCTTGAGAGACTTTGAACTCAAAGTTTTTTAAAGTTTCGGGGCTATTGATGAGTGACCACACAGTTACTTCTTGAATGAAATTATAATGGAGGTCAGTTATGGTTAATAGGATAATTGATTGGTAACAGTTCAGCACAAAGAGAAGCAATCATACTTATCCACGCTTAAAGCGCACACAAGGTAGTGCACAGTTACTCAATGAAAATTCATCTTTTGCTTAAAAGTATTCAATAGCTGCAATGTTAGAACTATTTTTTATTTTGCTTGTTGTTTTGATAACCCATAGTAGATATGAATAGTCAAATATTTCATGTACTTGCAACTATTTGTCTAACATTAACTATTTGTCTACTATTTTTCTTACAAAAAACATTTTTGTGAAAAGCTGCATATAAATAGCTAAATCAAGCTATTTTAAAAAGCTTAATATAGCTAAATAGCTATTTCAAGCCACACAGCTAAATCAAGAGATTGTACTGGACCTGATTAACATACCTATTGACTATTACCATAACAAAAAAGATTACACTCAAAGATAAACCTTGATATGTGAACTTTTTTGTGTTATCTGTCGTGAATTTAGTTTATTTCACTTTCATCGTTATATTCCCTCCTCCCGTAACCTCGAGTTATCGTTCTTAGTACGAGTTATCTGTTCCTTATAGCAGGTATCACAGAAGCAAATGTTGTGGATAACTAAATCAGTGTGAAATGTTAAAATTGTTAAAGAATGACAGTTAAACTAGCGAGTCTGAAGTTCGTCTCTGGATAAATGTATGATCTGATACAATGTACAGTATTAAATTTTGAGATTTGACCGAAACACACAATTAAAAATTACAATCTAAATGCATATACCATATATTGGCCAAGTTTTGACCCCCCACCCCAAAATGACGATATTGAAAACAAAATGCGAGGCGAAGATGTTGGAATGTCTCTGCGAACTATGTCAAATAATTAAGGCATCTAATTTCCACAAAATTCTTCACATTAAAGATTAGTCTTCACTGAATATAAAACTCATAACATATAAAAGGAAGAAATTGTCAATTTAAAAAGTAAACATCCCTGCAATTAAATGGGCTTATACAAGTTCCTAATGACGCTGCAAAAAGAAAATATTAATATATATTCAAATGAACTACATCCATATTGAACGGAAATAGTTTTATTGAAATGCCATTTCTGTTTGTATTATGGATGCATTGTAGAGAGACACGAATATTACGTACCCCCCCTTCTTTTCTCGAAATAAGTTTAAATTACTAGTACTGTTAATTTAGTATGAAAATATTCATTGAAACCGCCCACACGCTTTTTTGTTGCAGTCTGATGATCCTCTAATGTTCATATATCCGAATAGTTCTATTATAAAAAAAGAAAGTTGGAACCAAACCCCCAACCACCCCTCACGAAATAGGCACAGTAACAACTAATTAACTAAGGACATTAATCATAAGCTAGAGCCAGTTCAGTTTATTCACTTTAAAACATGGTTCAAGGCTGAGGTACAATTACATATATACAAGTACTGGTATACATTTTATCAAGCAAGGAGGGATTAGATATAGCTGAAGAGAAAGTAGACCTAACTAATTCTTTTGAGAAAATGACATCACAAAGCTTCATGGTTGTTTTATAGAACAAATTTTCTAGACCCAAGAATTTTTCCAGCAAATTACATTAAACAATATTCAAACATAAAGTCATGTCATTTCTTGCTGGAGTGTAAAAAAAAATAATTTTCAATTACTGGTACACTGAAAGAAAAACCTAGTGAATTTAACTAGTGTGTTACGTAAAGCGTTGGTCGTGATTAGTAAACTTTCAGTTTACTGGTTAAGATAGTGAGTTGTGGAGCGGGGGTCGTATAGATACTAAGATACCTAGTGAAAGTTACTCATCAATTCTAAATTTACTAATCTTATTTAGTAAATATACCAATATCTGGTAAAACTACTATTAAGGTAGTGATTGTATGGACAGTAAATCTACTAGTTTTCTTCGTGACATTAACTAGTTATTTTTTTTACAGTGTATGTCAATTACTTATTATGATCCTGTTCATTCAAGTTTGACTACGAAATGAAAATTACTAACATTCCGAAAAAATGGTTCCCCGTACTTTATTCTCATATCATACCACAGGCACCTGAAGTATAGATAATACCCCCCCCCTTTTTGTTAATGAAAAAAATGTAAGAGTGTATAATATCTCAAAAATATAAACTTTCCCCATCAAACACATCTACATGTCGTTATATGCAAGCAGATTGTACTTTTTCTCACGTTTAAAGAATGACCCTATTCGGTATAATAGAAATGCCAATGGAAGAAAATTTTATGTATCCGATTAATAAATCGTCCGATTACGGCATATTAAACATTAATGGCGGGGTTTAAGTTGAATACTTCAGTAGGAGAACATCTCCCTGAGAGAGTGCTTGCAAAATTATGATAGGTAACACTATTATTAACCTTGGAAATCTGTCTCGAAGCGGGGAACCCCACATTTGTTTACAACTTTTGTTTCTTACCTTGTGTATTTTTATTATACCGAATAGGGTCATTCTTGCATTTTTTTCATTAACAAAAAGGTGGGGGGTATTATCCATACTTCAGGTGCCTGTGATCATACATTAATGTGCACGTCAATCAGGAATATTGTTTAAAAATAAAAAAAAATTCCCCACACTAATGCATATTATTGAGAAGCTATATAAATCTTTATCGTTTCTATATCCATCTATATCCAGTATTCAAGTCCATAGTACCCCCCCCCTCCCCCCCGGAATAACTGGGCATTTGCTGCTTATTAGGTATCGAAGTTCTCATTCATATGTAGGTTTGCAGGTCCTCCTTTCCCTCTGTACTATTGTTGCAGTATGGTATTGTACTGGATTTTCTTTTACGGTTTTACGGAAAACGAGTGAGAACAGAGGACACCCCCCTTCCCCCCACGAAATATGTTCTTTGTTTTTTTAATAGTTTTCTGCTTTCCCTAAACTATTCTTAAAAATAATTTTTATTTTTTATTTGCTTGTCATTTTTCAAAGTTGCCTTTTCAATTTTTTTTTCGCCCCCTCCCCCTTCTTTCCTTTGAAGAGCGATGCTTCGACTACATGCCTGCTATGTACAATATCTTGAAAATGTGATAAGCAATCAATGATGCGACATGTTCCACAAATTTCCAGAGACTATTCTCTAGAGTTTTGACCTTCATACACTTGAAAAAGAAAGCTGAATTAAAAAAAAAAACAACATTTAGACACATTGTCATTTAGAACATCCTTTTACCTCATTACCGGAAATTTTACAATACCTGCTATTAGGAAAGATAACTCGTGTTAAGAACGATAACTCGAGTTTACGAGAAGAGAGAATAAGAATACATACTGAACTGACTTAAAATGAATCAAACTTTTAACTTATTCTGTTTCTTATGGGTGCATTTACTAGTACCCAAAAGGAACCCAAAAGGACACCGAAAGGACCCTAAAGGACTCAAACTGAATAATTATGATATACTGAAAATTAATAATTTGAATTAAATTAGGAATATTATAAGTTAACATAAAAGTTGGCAAAAACATAAATTTATATTGTTGCAACTTTTATTTGAGAATAACATAGTATTTTATATAGCACATCAAACACTGAATCTAGTCAGATATGCTTTGTTTTATTTTAGCTGAAAAAAACAAAGTATTATTATATATCTCCTTGTATTTTACCACATCTTACAATATGATATTTAACGAAGAAATGTTTTATTTTATGACTTGTTTTAGGCATGTGGTATCGGTGGTGCGGGACCCCCCCCCCCCCCCAAAATTTTTTTTCATAAAATAGGAAAGTGTTCATTGAATATCCATTTATTCTCTTTATTTCAAGTCCTTTTGGGTTGTTTTTAATATTTCCTTTTGGGTCCTTTTGGTTTTCTTTTGGGTTCCTTTTGGGTAAATCGACACA